GATGTAGCAAGTACATCGGGTGTTATGGGAAGTGTTCCCTGTTCCGGTTGTCCTAATTAATGCAGCCTAAAAATCCTTTAATGTATTTGAATATTAGAAATGTGTTTGTGTGTTATGTGTAAGCCAGGTTAAACACAGGGAGGCTGAAATTATTTTATTTCAAGAAACACACTCTTGTGATAATGACTTCAAATTTTGGAAATTGCAGTGGGGAGATTCTGTGCTTATTTATTTATTTTTTGTAATGGAACAAACCATTCTGGGTAACACTTTACTTGAAGGGGTGTGTATAAGACTGACATGACACCTTCATAATCATGACATGACACCTACATAATCATGACATGACACGTCATGAATATGAAGGTTTTTTTATGCATGTTTATGACAACTGTCATTAAGTGTCATTCGCATTTATGTTATTTTTAATGCAAATATGACATTATTTGACCTAACCCTACCCCTACACTTACCCCTAACCATAGCCCATAACAAAGACATCTCAAACAATGTCATCTTTGCATTAGAAATTACATAACCGAGTGAATGACACTTAATGACAGTTGTCATAAACATGCATAAAAAAACCTTCATATTCATGACGTGTCATGTCATGATTATGTAGGAGTCATGGCATGATTATGAAGGTGTCATGTCAGTCTTATGCACACCCCTAATTTTCTAAGTTAACCCCATTCTGCAGGGGTCGCTGTTTTCTTACAGTTTTTTCTCAATCGATTTGACACTTTTCTCCAATGCATACTTGTTCTCAAAACAATTAGCACAGCAACCAAACACAAAATTATCTTAACCAAACAGTTCAACTTTACTGCAAAATGAAGCAGTGCAATTTTTCTAGCAATGCGTTTATTAAAAGTAAATATTAACATCAAATCTATAAGTTTGTTCTCTAATGATTATAAAACATAGTAAGCTGTAGATGCACAAATACACTAATGAAAAAACATGTTTATTGCAATTCTTCAACACAGAGTTTTGTTTTATATATTGTGTATATCTAAAAAAAATAACAGTTATCCAACTCCTATCACCAATGTGAAAAACTAATTGCCCCTTTAAACAAAAAATCTCTTTGTACCAACTTTAGCAGCAATAACTGCAAACAAACTTTTCTGATAACTACAGATCAGTCTTTTACAGCACAGTGGACAATTGGTCAATTGTCTCAAAAGCTGTTTCATGGACAGGTGTGGGCTATTATTTCGTTATTTCTAAATCAGTTAAGCAGGTAAAAGGTCTAGAGCTGATTCTAAGTGTGCCATTTGCATTTGGAAGCTGTTGCTGTGTACCAACATCATGCAGTCAAAGGACCACTCCATACAAGTGAAACAGACAAATGTTAGGCTTCAAAAACCAAACAAATCCATCAGAGAGACAGCAGGAACATTAGGAGTGGCTAAATCAACAGTTTAGTACATTCTGAGAACAAAATAACACACTAGTGAGGACAAGAGTGGTGGATGATTGGAGGATCCTCTCCACAGTAAAGAAAAACTCTTTCACAACATCCAGCCAAGAGGAGAACACTCTCCAAGAGTGTGTCACTGTGAAAGTCTACAATGAAGAGAAGACTTCACAAAAGCAAATACAGAGGGTTCACCACAAGCTGCAAACAAGGCCAGGTTAGACTTTGCCAAAAAACATCTAAAAAAGTCAGACCACTTCTGGAAACCATTCTTTGGACAGCTGAAATTAAGATCAACCTGTGCCAGAATGACAGGAAGAAAAAAGTATGTAGAAGGCTTGGAACAGCTCATGATCCAAACATACAACATCATCTGTGAAACATGGTGGAGCAGTGTGATGGCAGCATGCATGCACTGAAAAAAAAAACATTTTGTGGTATTGTAAAATATATTAAATTATTCATCATAAATTCTACTTGTAATATTAAAAATCAAGGAGAACAACAATTTTCTAAGTAAAATGTACACATGTAATTCATGTAATTAATAAAATGCGTGAGAAGGGTAACTCTTAGTGATATTTACATGTTTTATAGTCA